GCCATTGCCGCCAAAAACCATACTCTATCTTTTGGTTATCGCTGCTCTGAATTAAGGTGTCGACGGAGGGGACATACGTAAATCCGGATCCCCGAAAGGTCCCATCACGTGGTCAGCCTGCCAAACGCGCCAAGCCCCAGCCGCGTCCTTCTTCCATTCTCGCTGGTCGTTTTCTCCTTCTTCCTCTTCCTCTTCCTCCCTGCGACATCATCATCATCCTCCTCCTCCCGTAAAGGAAGTATTTGCTTTTTGCTGCTCTCGCCGCCGGTCCTGCCATTCCTGTGTTTTCATAGGACTCTCCGATTTCACTGGTTGAACTTCGGATTGGGCACGTGCTCGTGGCCAGACCGTAAGAGCTTGTACCAACTTTACTCGGATCTTCCTGTCATCCTCGATTCTCATCCTGGATCCCACATATTACCCGAGTCAGGGCTGCTCAACGCTGTTCCAAAGCCCGGGTGGGAGGGTTACTCGATTCATCGAGGGTTCTGCTTCTTAATCCCAACGAATGTTGCCAGAACACCATGACCACCACATCGCACAACCCGCCCCGGGTATTGAACAAAGCCGTTCTTGTTTATACACCCGATTTCGATGTGTCTTGTCGGGCGAGCCTTCGTATTTTCCATGATGAAACTGGCGACCGGGGATCCATCACCCTTTCGATCACGGCAGATCTCGCTACCCCGCGCGTCAGATCACAGGTGAGGTTGAATATTCCCCCAGAAAGAGTCGAAAAATGTATATTACATAAGACTAGCAACGACGGCCTCTGTTCACCTGGTTTGGTTCCTGCAATCCCGGCGCTTGTCACCAATGTTTCGGCCGTCTCAACCCTGAGTTTGACCCTTAGTACGATCGGCATTGTTTTTTGTCCAGCTGAGACGGAGTCTCTAAGCCCAGCCACCCCAGGAGACTTGAATTTCCTCTCATTTGCAAAGATTTGTCGATCCAAATCTCTCCGTATACACTTGGCCAGACGACAATGTGTGAATAATGAACTTCGTAGGCTCGAACGTTTCTCCCAGGCCCTGCGAGAAAGAAGTCTTGAGGCAGAGCCTTTTGACCACGCTCGCCATCGCATGGTCCAGAGAGATTGGCATATCTTCTGTCTCTCGCCCGATCCACCCCCATATTGTCAGGAATCCGTGTCCGAACAAGTGAAGGAGGTGGGTCCACCCCCATATTGTGAGGAGTTCGTGTCCGAGCAGGGTGTTAGAAAACGGCGTAGAGGTATTTTCTCATCTTCTTCTCATCTTATGTACTTTGGCCTTCCATAGCTCATTAGTAATACCTAGATTCAATGCCACTGGACAACCCATCACGAAAAAAAACCCTCCTCTCGTCCCCTCAATCGATCGACTCTCCCACCGAGCCCGATACGCCGAGTCCTCTCCGCCCGTCCCCGTCAATCCGCCCAACGTACTTCACGCATGCTTTCTCTCCTGGCCACACAGAGCGTAACAGACTTGCGTGTCTGGTCCATGAGTTCAGTAGTTTGTCAGATGACCAGGTTCGCAAAGTCTTAATTGGATCCCGACACGCCCATCTGCTAGCCACACCACATGATGGAGACAGTGACCTGCCCTCGGAGTCGGCCAAAGGCAGCTTTGCCAGGGGCGAGCCGATCAAACGCCGCCGCCTGGAACGATATATCAGTCAGATAATTCAGCGCCACATATCACCTATTGTCGATGAGATTGTCGATAGTGCTGTGAGCAAGTCTCGGGATCAGTTCTTCGACGCATGCAAAATGAACGAAGCTGAATTTCGCGAGCAGGTCGACGATGGTAACTCCGAGATACGCACGATGGCCAATGAATGTATGAAGGAAATGAAAGAAGAAGCGCAGAAGCACATCCAGGACATAGAAGAACAAGCGCAGCAGTGCATGAATGATCTTCAGAATCAGGGATTCGAGGTTGAGATGTCGGCGGAGAGACAAATCGCAAAGTTCAAGTCCTGGTCCAATGCTTCTCCCCGGTCCGTCCTTGATAGCAAGTCAAGGAGCCATGAGCTGGGCACTGATGCCAGACGCAGTTCCATTTAGGGTTGGCACGCAGCTCATATCTCTTAGGATGGTCGTCGTGCACTTAGATTATAAGTTCGCGAAGAAGACCAGTGAAGGGGCCCGGCATCAAATTCGCAAAATGCGAACAGGTTCTCCAAGGCTTCATTCGGCATGATCTAAGCATCAGCATAGCCACCTCGGGAGATCACATGGAACACATGCTTTGGGTTGAACACCGCTCTAGTTAGCTAAAAAATACAAAAGGGCCCAAGACGGGAAATCCGTGAAAGGGGCGAGACAAGATCGAAATGATGGGGTGGTTCGTCTCGCCATGCAAGCCGGGCGGATCGGCAACCGTCAAAATGGCAGAAGCCACAGTCAACTTCGCATCCTACATCGGCACTGGGTTTTCCAGCTTCTCTCAAGTGCTTCACCCGGCATATTCTCCTTCTCGATGTCGATGAAGACTTCTCTCGCGCTCCAGAGAGGCAATCAAAGGCGGCAGGATCTAGTTCCTGCATATTGAACTCTTAGGTTGCTTTGCCAGAGTGCGCAAAGATGAGTAGCAGAGAAGTCGAGCAAGTGTAGTTCTGGGGTTACACTGGGGATAATTTCTCGTCACGGAACTAGCCAAAGGTCGAATTGCCTATCCTGTCAATGGAAAGCAGCGCCAAAATCAAACTAGGGAGAGTTGATGTGACTACTGTTACAAGGCTTGGGCTACATTCTACGCGGTAAAATGTCTGGAAGGCTCTCTTCCACTCGCATCCCTAACGCCCCACAATCTCAAGTATGCACTGTTCAACTTGGCGGCCCTTTGCGGTCAAGAGAATCCGTTTTGCCATTTGCGACTCCAATTCTCGCATGATAGATATATGGTCATATACTTGCGGGAGCTATTGAAAGTCGAGTACCATACACTATACTATAGATATAGTCCTTGCGGATTCCATGATAGCTATCCCATAGCAACTATCAGCCGAGATCTTGCCGCCAATGTCAACAGGAGCAAGATCCCTTAGGTCTCGTTGGCTCGATACTAAGTACACCTACAGCTGCAACACAGTCGGTACAGTTGCTGTATTGAGCCGTTGAAGACGTCAAAGATCCAAATAAGACTCTTGGATGGTTACAAGTTGAACTTCACGATCTTATTAATATTGCGCCTTGTTCCGGTTTGTTTAGAATAGAGATAATATATACTCGGCCTGATCCTATCTTTCTCGTATCTATGGGTTTGTATAAGATCATCGGTTAAACAACTGGGACCGGTGGGTTCATCTATACATGCTACTGACCTTAGCGTATAACTTTAACTGTGGTCTAGAGTATACCGTTTAAGCATTCGAGTCAGTATACCAGCAACGGCCAAAACTTATGCAATGTAGTGAAAATACTTAAGCAATGTCTTTCCTCGTGAATGACTTGATGCCTTTTACGGTAACGTCCTTGATCTTGTATATCCTTTACCCAGGGTTGGTAAACAAGAACAACTGGAGGCTCCAATCGGCCTTCCCTACAAGTCAAACCGAAGTTTACCGAAAAACATTGCCGTAGGCACTGTCCAATGTAGGTGACCATTTACTCTGTTCCATGTCAGAGCAGTTTCAAATCTGTTGCGCCAAGTCCGAAGTACCTGTGAACGACAGACCTTTTGAAAGGCTTTTAAGAGGCACTTTGTTTTTTTCCAGCAGCGACGTCTGCAGCCGCCTTCCAATAGGGATTGATCCAAATAGTAATCATGTTCTCCCCATGACTGGTATAATCGAAGGCCTTCCCTCCCTATCGCGTGGATGAAGTAATGCACAAAGTACGTATAGCTCATCTCACAGCTCTTCACTCTGGTAGTCGCTAATCTCGGTGCAATGACTGGCGGGACGACGGTGGGATACTGTTCGCAGATCTTTGGTCGACGTTTCAGCATCATCGTCATCTGTATCGTCGGCGGGGCACTCGTATACCCTTACACATACACCAGAGGACACGCGGTGACGGCAGTATCCTTTTTTGAACAGTTCTGCGTACAAGGCGCCTAGAGCGTAATCCCGATATACCTCCTGGAGCTGTCCCGGGTTGCCTTCCAAGTCCTTGTTGTCAGATCGGCATACCAGATCGGCAATCTGGCTTCCTCGGCCCCTTCTACCATTGAAGCCACAATTGGTGAACAATTTCCCTTGCCACCCTTGACAAAGGCCGATGGTACGTTTGTTGACCGCTACCACTACGGGATGGTCATTTGTATTTTCCTGGAGGTAGCCGACGCATACAGTATACTACTTCTGCTTCTGGGACCGGAGCAAAGGGGGCATAGTACGGATGGTGTTGCTGATAGGGAATCATGTTAACGCTGACGCAACTCCCGTTTTGGGGTTCTTTACCAGCTGCTGAAGCAGCTTGTCTTTGCGGGTGTTTTCCTTTGTTGATCTTCCCTATATCAGGGAGATCCCGGATATCTTTCTTTCTTCTTCTTTTCTCTCCCTTCCTCTCTCTATACCCTAGTACATGGGATACATATATACGTCTCGCTTCCGGTACCACAGATTGGTCCGATTTTAGTGTTCCTCTGTACCCTCGGCGCCGAAAGCATGTGGCGATATATCTAACTACTATATCCAGTGGCACAGCCTAACCGCCGTAACCTAGCCATAGCCTGACCTAACCGGCCTCAGTAGATTAAGGTTTGAGTTAATCGGGTTCCCCGAAAAGTCCGCCTCAAACCCAGGGATCCTGTGCGGGCTTTGCTGGGAATTATATGATTCAAAATCAGGGTAAGGTTCTAGCCTAAGTCTATACAGGGAAGGCTTCACTTAGCCACTTATCAGGTACCTTACTAAACTAGGCATAGTAGAGGGCTTTCTGGGTTCGGGGCGGGTGCGGGCTCGCGTATCAAAAACCCGACCCAATGCCAACTCTCCTCCTAGGTGAGTGGTCTAAGCACGTACAGATCACTATAATACAGTAGAGCATTCTACCGAGCAATATCTATCATCTTCATAAAGCTGGCATTTTAATGGGCCTAATATCTACTGCTATGGTAGTTACCCGAGCTGAGCTATCTGGGCAGCCTTCTCTACTGTAGCCAGGAAGCCGGGAACGGGTTACTTCTATTGAGCGTATTAACTCTAGTGGTTGGGCCCTTTCACCTTACATTAGCTTTAGAAGACCATTAGGATAGCGTAACCTAACCTAACCTAGCCATGGCCCATAAGCCAGTCTAGCTTCCAATAATCAGGTCTTGCTAGAAACTAATATCCTGGTCAAGGAGCTAGAGCAGCAGCAACAAAGGGACCCGGAACTCTAGATACAAGTCTCAGCCTACTTCATCGCGGAATCACGGAATCACGGATATCTATATCTTCGAGGACCCTCTTGCAGGTAATGTTGTCTCTACATCAAACTCAGTCGTGCAAAGTAAAAACGTATCTTTCAGAGCCTACACAAACAAATCAGAATTTCACTTCAGGAGGAAGGCAAAAGCAAAAGGGACACGGAGGAGTTATAATTCTGGGGGAGGGACTTACTCCCAACCGAAACTTCTCATTGATTGTTTGATAGTCCTCTCCGGCAAGCATATCACAAAAATGCCGGATAGAAGGATAGTGTACGATGGAAATTTCATCCCACCCCACCTCTTCTTTCCTCTTGACATCCGTTTCTCCATCGACGTCAGGTCGAATCACTGTCCCTACCAACTTTGCATTGCCGCCCCGTCTATCAGCAATGGGCCCAAACGCCTGCCCGTACTTATAATAACCATCCTTTCCGCCAGGAGAGTTGAAGTGCAATAAGTTGAGCATGGTTACGGGACCTGGATGCTCGGCCGAGAGTTTATGCATAAAGGCGAGGAGCTCTGGTGTGACCTCGAGGCCTTGAGAGCTGGCCCTATCCTGGACGTGGTTTATGGACCCGGTTAGCGGGATGGAGAGGGCGGCACGCTTCAGTGATTCGGAGCGGGATGGGTAGCTTGTCAGCAGCTTAGAAGGGATTCCAACTAGGATGCGGTATTCGGATTTCACTTGGGATTGTAGGAACTCTGGTATGGGCAATGGATTAGACTCTTCACTTTGAATAAGCACAAGGAGGTCCCATGGAGTTGGCAGGGCATCCTTGTCAATAAGAACCGGGTGGATGACGATATGTCGGGGTCGCGATGCAACGATGACCTTGCGGGTAGACTGGAGGGCTTGGAGGAAAGTGGGCGCATCAGCTTCGAGAGCAAGAAGGTGGAGGGTTGCTGTGGGCATTTTGGGCGGTTGCTGTTGTATAATTTAGGAAGGTTATTATCCGAGGCAATTGCTTTATGTATCTCTTCCCAAGGAGGGACCGTGCGCCCGTCCCACCGCTGGCTCTCGAGTCATGTATGCTCCGGAGCGTGTCATGGTCTGGGACTGAGCCATTTCAAATAACGTAATTCCCGTACAGGCGGGCCACTACGGCCGAGTGGGCCACACGCGTGCTGTACCCGTATCATTTTATGAAGCTATTCAACCACTTGCTATACTACCATAAATGCCTAAATCATCAAAAGCTCAGGTAGAACAGGAGGACAGAATCTTACTAGCTACATCAACTATTAAAAATAGTAAAAGTACTGGACACTTCTATGGATGAAAAAAAATATGTTCCATAGCACAATACATGCTATGGAGGACCCTTCTTGCACCTGTTTTGCTGAATTTGCGGTTAAGAGAAGCCCGAATTCGATCCTGCCTTGCCCGACTTTGGGCGAGAATGGACAGTTCATGGTACACACAGACAGCTGTGAGGGTTATTATGGGCTGTCAACGCGGAAACATGATGTTGTACTTTGTATGGAAGCGCAAGGGGCTGTTACCTCCGCCTCTTCATGTAAAAGTGCCGCACTCAGTGTAGGTTTACCTTGACAAGTCTTCGGAGAAATCCTGTTATCTAATGTTATTATATGAGCTTAGTCTATATTAAGTTGCAAAACCATCAGCAAGGCAGCCAAATGTACTCTAGTCCTGCTTCTCTACCCAATAGGAAGTGGATTTCAACTCTTAGCCCAATATGTCGCGAGCCTTGCTGATGCGATAGAACCTGAGTGAGACACAACTGATAGGCGTCTGCCAGATCCTGTTGTCTGTCATATTTGTGGTCGCAAGATAATGCCATGCTGGTATGAAAGGCATTCAAGCTTATGCTTGCGAGAGAATATGATCGAGATGGACATCCAGGCTGCGCAGAAGAGGTTGATTGTCACCAAGCGATCATCATGATTCTGGACATTCTCAGCAACAGGAATCTTGCAGGTATTGGAAGTAGAAGCGCGGTTAACTTTCTACATCGACGTCGTCGCCCATCATCTATTCAATCATTGCGTCTACCATCAGAAAGGCTCCATGGTCATCGCATTCAGCAGAATGCACCTGTTAGAATAGGTAAGCGGTCTTGCGCGGCCAGTTACCTGGGCTTTTTCCGGCCCGTGGAAACTGTGCCCCATCGTCACGTACAATTATAACAAAATTCTCGTTGCACCAGCGAGAATACTAACAAAAAGATTTACTACTACCTAGCTCCTTCTCGACTTTAGCCAACAATACATAAATAAGTAGTGCTAGTATCAGCAAAAGTCAGTTCTATTGTAACGTCTACGGCGGGGCTGGAGATTGCAGTAGTACCGTCATGAATAATGTTATGTATATATCAATCGTTCCGTAGGGCTAGTGTTTTTTTTTTTCGGAATCAAAAAGGACACTGTCCCCTTCGCCCATTTCTAAGTTTTACCTTCTCCTGCCTCGCATAATCTTCGCCTCTTCCTTTCATATATGACGGCCCTATATTGCGCGTATCGAATCCACACGGCATGAACCCATCACCATCATCGCCCGGAAGAGGCCGTCCCAGGGACCATGTAACCCAGGCATATGGCCCCCAACGATTCCAAAGCGTCGGGGCCACGTAATAGGGATGGGCTTCCCAAATGTGTACTCGGTGTGGAGATCGTTCTTCTGGATCTGGGTTCAATCGTAACTGCCGAAAGAAAGACGGGCGTGGCAGGACAAGGTATCGGAGGATATACTTTCGAACAACCAATACAGTGTGGGTTAGAGCGTAAACCCATTGAGCGGGCTGATGATACCTAAACAAATTTATCAGCTTGAATGACCAGGCTAGCAATTGCGGGCCGAGGGAGCTGACCCCATTGATAGTCGCAGCTGGTCGTCCATCAAAACAAGTATCATGTTTCTAGCCAGGTTGTGGAATATCTTGGGTACACCACCCAGGGCAACATTCCGTATCAACTGATCCTGTAAGTCACTGAGGCCAGGCAAATGACGCATCGCTTGCATTTCGTAGTCACGACACCAGGTCTCAATCTCCTGGAAAAATTGCAAGCCATCCTTGAACCCTTTCTTACCTGATGGTAAATCACCGTAGCTGATTTCCATCGCGTCGCCGAAGCTTTTCCAGAAGGTACCCATTGCACATTTTTCCATCTGACTAGTCTGATCCCACTCATATCGATCGATCCATTTTGCAGGCTGGATCGTGAGCAGCCCGAGTGTGTAAAGCATGTCATCCTCAACAATACTGCCCGATTCCCTATACGCATGATGTAGGTATTTCATTCGAGCAATCGCTTCGTGGCCGCGTCGGGAAGCTGGTGAATTTGCTAGCGCTTCGACCATCAAAGCCACTGTGTCTGAATATCGCTTGTACCAGGTTCTCTGTGAAGAAAAATCCGATTTCCTTGAAAGAACCCGAGAAATGGTCGGAATCGCATAGGTCTAGTATGTGTGTCATTAGCATGCGATGCTCTACTTTTCCGAATCGACATAAACACTCTAGCAGGAACATAATAAGATGTACCCGGAATAAAGCATATTCCAAACCTATTTGAAACATGGCCGGGAACTCTAACTGTCCGAGAGTTGTTAATATCTCCCATGCATCATCGTCTGTTAATTCCTCATTCAGATAGCGTTTCGAGTATCGGTTATGGATTAATCTTCGTCGACGGAATCGCAGTATATGAACCAGAACCATATAAAAACAGAGTAGGGTAAGGTTTATGTAAATCCCCATCATAAAAATCATTGGACAAATTTCTTTGAATCCTGGAGAGCTGCCCGCGATGCTCGGGAAAATATTAGCTTGGGTGATGCAATATATAGGTTGCGTGTGCAAAATGCAAATCTTTAACACGTCCATACCAGACGCCCATAGGTGCAGGTAAGTGGATAATACTACTCAGCTGAGTGGCTATCACATCGGAAACCTCGAGTCGGGGCGGGGTGTATTGATCCACTTCTAGCTAGTGCGCTGGGCAGATGCAGCAGCAATGTCACCCCACGCTCTTTGATCTATTCCCTCAGGTATATGCTAGACCATATCAAGTTAGATCATTATTGCTCTGCCAACTATTTGCATTTACCAAGCTTGCTAGATGGGAGCTGAACCTACGGTGGACTAAATCGAAGTTCTGGATAATGGAGATTTCTGACCGAAACCTTGGCGTTTTACATTACATTGTATACTTATTTAGTATTACTCTTACTTTATAAAATATACTGTATACTATATATTAATACTAAATTATTTATAAATTAGAAAATCTATATTTAATCGAGATTTTTTAGTATTAGTAGTAGTAGTGATAGTCACACTAGACAGTAGGCAGTAGATACTAGGCAGTAGGCAGTAGACAGTCGACGGTAGATGTGAGTAGTAGCTAAGCTTAGAGATCCCACTACCTTGATTAATAATAGTAATCTCTAAATTTAGGGACTACAGTATCTGAAATATGAATGTTAAAATTAAAATAATAGAGAGTATAAATATATTTAGAGCTAAATCAATTATTTATGCTATTATAAATAGTAGATACTACAGTAAAGTTTTTTAAATTGACTTAGGCTAAGATATAGTGTGTTGGTGTTAGGGAGTTTGGTAATATTTTACATTGTTACATTGTCTAGAACTTCAATTTAGTCCGCCGTAGGGTGCCCTTTCACGAGCCGAGTTCATTAACACACGGCAGCTATCTATTGCCCAAGCAATTCTACTCTACACCCTTGTAGCCCGCCTGGAGAGTCTCAAAGGTATATATGGACTCTATCTGGATTGTTCTTGAGGATAGCCGGACAATTGGTCTCCACCGCGACGGGTCTCATTTCCATGACATCACGCCTTTCGAGACAGAAATCCGCCGACATGGGTGGTGCTATATAAATATACTCAATTTCTCTTCAGGAGACATGCAACTAGCAGAAGCATCAATATCTGGCTCCATATTCAACATGCAGCCACCATTAAACCTGAACGACACCGACATCTACTCGGCAATGTCACACTTGCCCAAAGCTAGGAGTGGACACACAGACATGACAATCTACCTTTTGAGGCGTTAGATCTGGAGAGTTGGCAAGAGGATCAAGGATGCAATATCGTCCATATACCCCTGCCATCAAGCGCTAGATGCCGAAGCGCTTGAAAAGTTTGAGCAATTTTCAAAAATCACTCGAGATAAATTTGCGGAGTTCATTATGCCAGCACCATCCCACAAGCCAACATACTGCTTCACACGAAAGTTGGCGGTGCTTTTAGTGAAACGATATGAGCTCATTTTACATCATATCCGTCAGCCATCTTTGCCTCCCAAGCAAGGCGGCTTACAGACAGACAAAGCATTTCTCTTGTCGGTCGAAGTTCATGACGATATGAATGAGGTTTCAACTACAAGCTGGGCGTGGCAATTCTACGGTCTCATTCAATGGCAGCCACTGGTTTTGGTATTAAGCAGACTGTCTCTCGCCCCATTCGATACAATGGCAGAGCATGCCTGGACTGTGGTGGCCAGGACTATTAATCTACTTCCTAAATTTATTACGAAGGAACCACTTTGCAAACCATTACGCATCCTTATTCAATACGTCAAACAAAGGCGCTCACAGCAACTTGAAAAAAAGTCAAACAATAAGGAGAGAGGTTTGCATAACCCAGGCGACGGCACACATATTACATGTTCTTCAAGAACAGTTCTCAGTGACAAAAATTGTGCAGAGGAGGATACGTTGCCATCAGCCGCACTCAATATCCCTCTAGAGCCCCCCAATAATGTAAAAGGATATCCACGGCCCGAGGAATTAGAAACCAGTCCATCGTGTCTGGGGTGGTACTCTCATTGTATACTACCAACAGATGGCAATGCTTTAGATACAGGAATAGGAAATAAATATCCGATTTCGACTATTCCTCAAGGCAATAGATACTTGCAAGAGGCCTTGAAGGAAACAGACTGACATGATCAGAGCACCATTGGAGCGTCTGGTCAACAGGTGCAGAGCGATGAATGGGATGGAATGTTTACTATGGAAGGACAATTCACTCTACGAGCCCACTGGGAACAGTGGATATTGTAAAATGGAACAGGAAAACATAGTTTTATCCATCTAAGATCCACCAGCAACACATAATACGATTATTAATGAAGTAGTTAGAATTGTCAGCAGTTACCCTAGAACGAACACCATCGCAGCCCAGGCATCGAAAGCAAGATATATCAGTGAACAACACTACGTAGCGTGTCTGGTAAGTGATTTAGCCATGAGAGTTGAACCCCTAGCACACGTTTGTTAAGAGACAGAGCAACGTCTCTAACATCGTCTAATGGGTACAAGTACGAGTACGATAGGGACAGTGATTCATCATTGACACTTTGCTGCAAATCAAACCAATTTCCGATTATACTGCATATTAGAAAGAAGAGTCAGATCTACTAACAATAAGTATAGTGTACCCATAAGGGGCAAATCTATAGTAGATATAGAATTACTTTACTTTCTTACCAGTCAATCTATAGGGCGAATATATGACCTAAACGCCATTAAAATAAAGCATCGCGGATGTAGCATTCGTCTTCTTTGCAATATTGACTTTCGCATGACCTGATGTTTTCAATCAATTTCAATATATACAAGCCTGCTCTATAGGTACGAAGATCCATGGAAATGAAATAGAAACAATCTATAAGTGAGCAATGTTTGAGACTAGTGCAGATATAGAGCGCCTCGAAGGCAAGCTGAACCGTCACGACCTGCTAAACACCGTCGATCGTCCAACTTTCTTCGAACCAGGACATTGTACTGTGGACAGAAATCCAACATCCACGAGAGTTTCTATATTCGCTTTGATTATTCCCGGACTGATGTTCCCTGCATTATCAGGCTTCTTTCCTCCAAAGCTAAGCTGTGATTCCTGCAGCATAGCCAGTAAAGGACGGAAAGCATGGCTCTCTTCTGCCGCTTCCAAAAAGAGCTCTGCAGCCTGTTTCCAGTCTTCGGTCTTCATGGGTACTAGTTTGGTTTGCAGGGTATCTTGGACAATATCCCAGAAATGGGAGACCGTAATTCCAGTCTCAATATTCAAGATAGAGGGCGCCACATCCTCGTTCGCGACACCAAATGTGATCCTGAGAATGCCAGTCGCCACTTCTTCCACGTCGGCGACGGTTATCCACAGATGGCCATCGTTGCCGGGGTACTTCCCCATCTGGAGACATATTTGCACCAGCTTCCATAGGAAATCATCCGCATTTGGGATACCCTCTGTCTCTGTACCAACGATCCGGCCTGGCCGGACAACGGAAATATGATGCGTGGACTGGCGACTTGCAAACATTGACACGAGCTGTTCGGCAAGAAATTTGCTTTGGCTATAACCATTGGCTGTCTGGAGGGTTTGCATAAAACCACCGAGATCCTGGTCTACGGATCGTTGTCGCCCACCGGTAACAAAGGTGAACGTACCCGCCTGGTTCCAGAGGCGCAGCGCCGCCAATAATTCGATGGTTGAGTCGACATTAGCGGGCTTGTGGATGTGATATGGAGCCTGCCATTGAACCGTCGCCCCGTTGTGAATTATTGAATGGACCTGCTCCTGTGCATCCATGCCGCAAAGGATCCGCCATTGCTCCGGCTGGAGCCCAAGTCGGGGAGCTGAGAGATCTCCCGTCCAGCATGTGATCCGATCGAGGTACGACGGTGACCACCACTGGGCCATCGTGGCTATTGAAGCAATCCTTTCGAGCCCCTTGGCTGCGCTTGCTGCTCGGACATGCAAGATTACTTTCTCCACGCAAGGATCACGTAGCAGCTGGCGCAGTATCTGGGAGCCCAGGAAGCCGGTGCTACCGGTCAAGAAGACCTTCCGTCGTCGATGAAGTGACTCATATCGTTGAATGAGCTGATCGTAAGCCCCCGTGATCTCTGTGGATATATCGATTGTGGGGACATTACCTGCTTCTTTATCACCCATTTGTAGCGTCGAGATCATCGCAGCCAGCCCCGTCACCGTCAGCTTGGTGTCGTATAGCGTGCCTACTGCGATATGGACCTCGAAGACTTTGCGGATCAACGCGACGAGGCGCATCAGTTGAATAGAATCTAATCCTAGCATGGATAGCTGGGAAAATTGGTCATCTATTCCCACCTCTTCAATAGATATGTGGAGGATGTCGACAATGAGCTGTTGTAACTTCTTCTCTACTTCGTTTGATGGCGGACGCTTCGCTTGGCTCTCTGAGTTACGATATATGTTAAGTTCCCGTCGCGAAAGCAAGCAAGCCTTCTCCCTGATAAAGCGGCGATTGGCCTTGCCGTTGGGGCTTAATGGCAAGTAACGCAGTGGAATAAAAAGGGTAGGAACCATATGACGAGGAAGAACCTTCCGGAGAGCCATCTCAGCATGTGTAGTCTTGGCCTTGAATTGCTCGTCAGGCACAGATAAAGGGCTCAGCTCCGCTTCTATCCCAGGCTTTGCCATTGGCTGTCGAGCTGCATCCCAGATAAAAGCCACTAGCAGCGTGTGAGTATCCATGTCCGATGGAGTAATAATTTCAACCATGATGTCGGTTGCTTCTGGAAGGGTTTGCGTCACTTGATATTCGATCTCAGCAAGCTCAATTCGTTGGCCTCGAATTTTAACCTGATGGTCCTTCCGTCCAACGAATTCTAGCGAGCCGTCATTAGTTGGACTATATCGTGCTAGATCTCCTGTCCTGTACAGCCTAGCATATTGTCCAAGTCGCAGGGGCGAAAGCCACTTTGGGCAAGCAATGAATGATGATCGTGTCTGGGTTTCATTGCCAATATAACCGCGACCGACAGGCGGACCTTCAATCAACAACTCCCCAATGGATCCAATGGGCACCAGCTGGTCTGGGTGCTTTGGGTTGACTAGCCAGCATGCAACAGCCAAACCATGACCAATATTCGTAGGGCTAGAAGACTTGTGAACTGTAGGCTGCATTGTACTGTAGATAGTACATTCAGAAGGACCATACATATGTAATACCTGAACATGTCCTGCCCAAATGGCAAAGTCAAGTGGCTTTGCAGGTTCACCACCCATGGCCAATACTTCCAGAGTTGGGACAGCTCTAGGACCTAATGTGCGAGCCACAGAGGGGGTGAGGAATACCCAGTTTACTTTGAACTCATTCATTGCATGGGCGACATCACCCCGACTCGCTGCCTCATCAGGAACGCACACACACCCCCAACAAGCCAAAGTGAAGAGGTAATCCGCTATGGTTGCATCGAATGCATGAGATGAAAATTGAAACACGCGAGAATGCTTATTGAGCAGCAAGTTAGGGCCAGTGATCGTTGCATTGGTAGCTAAAGCTCCATGCTCTATGATAATTCCTTTCGGCTTCCCGGTCGAGCCAGACGTATACACGGCATATAATGCATGACTCGGCTGTACCACTGTGGAATGGTGATCTCTACATATCGAAGAATCTGCCACATGCTTAATGTTTTGCCCTCCAATAGGGAGAATGTGGGAGCATCCCAGTTGGCCTGCCAGATCAACCTGGGCAAGGGAGCATAACAACACCGTTGCTTGACAATCTCCACAGATACCTTGAAGCCGTTGCACCGGATAGGAAGGATCCAGAAGAATGAATGCACCACCAGCCTTTGCAACCGCTAACATGGCGACGGCCACCCATTTGGACTTTTCAAAACAAAGCGGGACAAACACGTCCGGTCGTATTCCATGCTCGGTCAAGGAGAGTGCCAGGCGGGAGGACAGGTTCTCGAGCTCTCCATACGTGAATTCCCCATCCCAAGCATCGATTGCGGTTGCTTTCGCCTGCGAAACGCAATTATCACGGATCAACTCGTGGATGAACATGGAACTTAGTTGTGGTACATGACTATTCCATGTCTGGAGTTGCTGTAGGTCCTCCGGACTGATGCTGTTGACATCACCAACCAAGCGATTCGCTGACTGGGTCACTTGCGTGAGGATTTGTGCGAAAAGGTTCAGAGTTCTCCGTAGCTGAGCCTTTGGAATTACCTTCGCATCATAGACCGCTTCTACATGAACGTAACCGTTGCTGGATGGGGTACACAGTAGTGTCAACCCATATGTGTCCCAGACCGGTCGGGCATTGACATCTGCAAAGTCCCCAAGGATACTAGACTTTTGATGTAGTGGTACTTGCTGGATCACAAGAAGGGTTTGGAACCTGCAGGCTCTCGCAGCATCGTCTCCCAGCTGGCCAATGTGCTGCAGACCATACTGCTCAAACGGAAGTGCCGAAATCAATTGTTCTTGGAGCAACAGGAGCTCTTCCTGGAGGGAGACGTTCGGTCTCAGTTGGACTCTGAGGGGGAATGTTGCGATCGTAGGGCCTGCCATCTTATCAATCCCAGGCACCGGAGCACCGCGGCCAGATACGGTCAGTCCGAATACCACGTCATCTGAGCCGGTGTACCGCGCGACGGTCAGCGCCCATGCCAGCCGGATGCTATTAGACAGAGTGACGTTAGTGCCATTGCTTAGAATCTTAACATCTGTATGCTCGGATTCGTTGGCAGTAGGGGTATATGTTGGGTAGGGTAGGGATGGAAACTGCTCGCCCTCGAAACCTAAAAACTCGGCTTTCCAGTACTTCTCAGCCTCCGATGTCGATTGCCAGATGTAGCTCACAAATGGACTGAATGGCCATGCAGCCAAAGAGTTTCCATGGTAAGCGAGGTCGACCTGTTCTAGGAGCAGGGAGACTGACCACGCATCATATATGCAGTGGTGCAGAGTAAGAACACAGCGGCTCGGACTCTCTGATGAGCTATGAATTACCGCTAGCCGTGCTAGGGGCTGACCTAGCTCCATCGGCCGAGCTTTATCTTGGCGTAGATACTCCTCTAAATCATAATGGATGGAGAAGTTGAACTTCTCGCGCACAACGACTTGGAAAGCCTCCCCATCAGGACCTTGTACGATGCGGGTCCGCAAAAGGGGATTCGCCTCAAAGGTTGCCCTCCATGCTAGTTCTAATATCGGGATACTAACGTCGTCCGGCAGCTGATAGACCCGCTGTGAAATGTATGTGCCCGGCCGCACAATACTCAGAGTGATTAAGCCTTGCTGCATAGGCGTGCTTGGGTATATATCCTCAATCTGCGACTCAGATAATGCGCATTCTTTGGCGGAGAGTTCAACGATTTCCCGTTTTCTCACTTCTCCGACTATTGATTCGAACCAATTGTCATTGTAGTTTGACTGCTCGCCTGTTCTACTAGACACTAGCTCGGCTTGAGCGGACAGCGCTGGGTGAGAAAAGATGTCACCGAAGGTCAGAAGAATCCCTATCTCTTCTGCTGCAGCAACAAGTTTCATAGCTGTGATTGAATCACCCCCTCTCCGGAAAAAATGATCGTGTCTTCCAATACTTGTGTCTCCGAGTTCAAGAACGCGCGACCAGAGTACCGCTAGGGTTTCCTCCTTTTCGGTTTGAGGGCCTTCAAGTGTGATGCTTGATCCTGTACAGCAAGCGACATTTTCCGCAGTCATGTTGGATACGACACGGCGCAACGCCTGGCGGTCCTTTTTACCTGACCGATTCAGGGTATGTGCAGTATTGGAACAACCGCCGTTGAAATCATATATCGTGGCACAGCGTCTGCTAGGCACGACTCTATCATCCTTAAATAGTCTGGGGCCCTCTCCAAGGACCCCAAGAGTGCCTCATTCCCAATCGCCTGGGTCGTGGGGCTCAATCCCAGAAACACTGTCAATTTTGCGCCCTTTGTGTTTGGCAATGAGACCAGGTCCACTACCACATCGTGAACCTCAGCATCAGGCATTTCTAATAGAGAGCGACTGACGTGCCGTTCGACTTCCTCCACTTCCAAACGCTGGCCGTGCACTTTAACCGTGTTGTCCTTCCGGCCCAAAAACCGGACTGTCCCGTCATCTGTAAACTGAGCAAGATCTCCGGTCTTGTAAAGCCGGCGGCCTCGATATTCCGGGCGAACCCTCTGCAGCCATGCAGCATCGCGGAGGAACGACTCTTGTGTTTTTTCGGTGTTGTTGACATAACCTCGTGCAATAGCTGTCCCCTCGATAACCAGCTCTCCAATGGCCCCAATTGGAACAAGCTTATCATGGTCCTGAGGGTCGACCAGCCAAATTGCAGATCCAACCCCGCGCCCAACATTCTTTAGATCCGAATCAACACCCGGGTTCTTTCTCATCAATGAGATACTAACACATTCGGATTGTCCACAGCCATATATCACATTTACTTTGTTCGCCCACATTCCGAGACTGGCACGGGACATGGGCTCCCCAGTAAAGACCAGAGTCTGCAGATTAGGGACCTTCTCTGGACTGAGCAAAGCGGCCACAGATGGGGTTAGGTTGGCCCAATTAATGCGATATTCCGTCATAAATCGTTCTATGTTGTTGACCCGATCAGCTTCAGATGGCACACAAATGCACGCTCCAAACATGAGAGTGAGTAGGACATCGCGATGAACGACAAGAAATGCATGACTGGAGAATTGGAGGACTCGGGAACGACTATCTAGGCATAACGATTGCCCTGTGGTTCTGGCCCAACTACAAAACGCTCCATGTTCCATTATAATTCCTTTCGGTTTCCCAGTGGAGTCGGACGTGAATACCACATACAAGGGATTATCAGGACATGCAGAGATGAGATTTGACACATCTTGTTCCTCACCGAGACATTCTGCATCTTCCCCTACCGCCACAATGTTCTTCGCCAAATTCTCGGCGGTTGGAGCCAAACCAACGCTGGCGAGGACAGTCGTTGCCCGAAGTTCATCACATATGACTTGCATTCGAGACCGAGGATAGGACGGGTCGAGAAGAACGTAGGCCCCACCTGCCTTGATAACCCCTAGAATGGCGACAATGAACCATTTTGACTTTTCAAAGTATAATGCCACAAATCTTTCCGGCGTAACACCTATGCTGGTTAAATGAGCTGCCAGATTAGATGAGAGCCGCTCAAGCTCAGAGTAAGTGAAATTTCCATCCCACGCATTGACAGCCGGCATTCCTGGGTTCTCTCGAACCCTCTGTGATATGGCGTGGTGAACACATTCATCATGCCATATCGGTAATCTTTCGTTCCATTTCCGGAGGATACTCAGATCGTGATCACTGCAAAGAACCAAATCTCCAATACTTGTAAAGGGCTGGTTCACGATGTCCGTTGCCGTCTTAGACACGGTGGCTGCCATGCCTTGAGCCTCCAGGTCACTGAGTTTTGTTTTCCAATAGCTCAATCGAGCATTTAGCTCATTGTGCTTGTTCTCAACCGTCAAAATAATCTTGATCTGCAGTGGCGTAAGCCCAGGGCTTTTGATCATTCCTCACTCGTCGTAATTGTACCTACGTTGGTTGTATCGTGGCCTTCCAATGTTTGCAACTCGCACCGGGAGTCCGAGTTCAGAAACAAAAGCGTGTCGCTCTCCTTAGTATCCGGAATACCGTTGTGATTTCGGTCATATGTCTTCTCTTGCCTCAATACATCGATTATCGGAATATTCCGCGTGAGTCTTTCTTGGCACACAAGCTCCTCCCAAGGCTGTCCATGTCCGGTGGTTCTGCGAAGGACGCGTCGAAAGCTAACAATGTCGGAACTAGTATAACTTCCCAGCACTATGCTCCAGATGACGTGCATCACTCGAGTGAGAGAGATGTTATAGCCATCGCAAAACTCGTCTAGGCGAGGAACCTTGAGAGGAACATGCTGTAGTTCATCATCGAGATTAGCTTTCAGTGCAAATGTCAACATATTCGGGACTAAAGAATGACTGACTTCAACTTGTTTATCCATTTTTGTTCTCCAAAGGAGTACAATATATAATATTGAAATTCTATCACAGCCACAACACGAGTCTAAAGCCGTGGCACTGAACTTTAAATTGATTTCTGCTCGTCTGTCCTCATACCCAAGCTTTTGAGTATTCACACAGAAATTGTGTCGACAGCGATAAGATGAGTGAGGCCAAGAAGGATGGCTGCTCTTGGTCTTTGCCCAGGTACCTGTGTATCCCTTACAATTAGTGTATACAAGCTATGCAACTAAGCTACCTCACCGCTGGTTGCCTAGGAGCGACGATGTGAAGATCCATCAGTGCAGGGAAGTCGGAAATTCCGTCCAGCGCAAATACCAACATCACGATCATGTGGTGGTTGGCTGAGGGAGGATATTTCGATCTACCGTAGGACCTGCCGATCTATCCTAAATGAGAGATTCTGTATGGTTGCTGGGGGATTAGGGCCATCTGGATGTGATAATATCGAATGTACACTGTTGAGGATTGTGGTATTATAGTGGGTCAACCCACATATTTCCCCCTACCCGTCCCATGATCCTATTATATGCATATTGGAATAGATCGCCTGCTGCCGTGGTTAATTCGATGATACAAGCTCTCCATTCTCTCATTGGCCTTACCAGCCTGCAGTGTAGGAATGCATCGCGAGACGACATTACCTAAGATTCTCACGATTTGACATCCGTGATTCGACATAGTAGCGGGTGTAACGCCGACCGTTGCTTACAGTATGGGCACGGCACCAAAGTAATAAAACATTGGGCTTGGCTGAGTTTAACTATCCTTGTGGGCAGCTCTATCTCTCCTAGCATCAAAACCGTGCATGGGTGTATCACTATCCAGCTGCCGGATATCAGCATACTTGGCATCAAACCGTATCCCTTGCGCCTACCATATGCATTGAGTTACAGTATTGGGCAAGAGTTACGGCAAATCAATTACTCAAAAGCAAGGTCAGACCCTTGCCTCGAAGGATCATCAATTCCATCACACACCAGTGGTGAGCAAGTGGTCCAAGTATGTATCTCCTTGCATATCCCCTTATTCTTCCATCATGATAGCGGGTATGCCATTCTCATATCTTGACCGAGTTGCTGTGGAGAGAGACTGAATATGTCGTAGAACAGTTCCTCCGTGGTGTATATTCCATTTCATTCGATGGCCAGATAGTGAATAGACAGACATAGGAAGGAATATCAGTTTCATATATTCTCGGGAGTGGCAGGGATCGCAATTAGACTACCGTGTACATACGTCACTCAGTCCAATGGCTGCATATAAAGCCTGTCTGGCGAATAAACCATTGATATCCTAGAATCATTATCCTAGGGGTAGAGTGACATAACCTAACCTAACCGACCCCGGCTAGGTTAAGGTATAAAAATATTTAACCGACCTACATTAAGATTGAAGCTAGGTTAACCGCAGCTAGGTAAAACTGACCCGATTAACCTACCCTAACCTTGCCAAACACCAGTCTAGCTAGGCAGATCTATTTTAAAATCTCAAAAATATAATTATTTAAGTATCTGTAAAAGTGGAAATAATAATCAATATATGGCCGAGTATAAAAAACCAAGGGTTCGGTAAAAAATCATTGGTTGACTATTAGCTAGATTTAGTCCGCCGTATGAAAGACCTGTTAGCGCCACAGAATTCCATATAGGCAGATTCCACAAGCCCCATATCCAAGCCAGGATTTTCAGATTCTCGCACTTCCAAGCACCAGGTTGTAAATGGACCAACCGCAGCAACACAACTTATACCAATATCCTTGCGCGATTGGTTGCCAGTCCACTGATCCTGCCAGGCATTGGCGGTGTTAAGTTTGGCATCCGCAGTAAAATCACTCTTGTTCTTTACTTTAGCCGCATCGAACTCGAAAGGTACATAGTGGACAGGGGGGTTGGCAATGTTAAATCGCTGACTAATTTATCAGTAGTTTCAGACAGTTTTTAATAGTTATTAGTAGTTTAAATAAAATAAAAATCAGTTCTACAGTTCTATAATAGTTATTATATTATTCTTTAATTATTAATTATAATATTAGACTGGCGTTTGGCCAGGTTAAGTTAGGTTAATGGGGTCAGTTATACCTAACTGCTAGGTTATAGCTAGGTTAATAGAATTTTTATATTTAACTATAGTTAAGTCAAAAATTGGACAGTTAATCTAGATTAACTGTACTTGGTACTAAAACTATTAATTCTTATCTAGTATAGTAGATAGTAAGCTAGATTAATTATAATTAATCTAGAATTAATTTAACTATTTTAATAGACTATAAAAATACTCTATTAATAGTATTAAAAGATTCTGTTTATTAATTATATATAGAAAGAAAGTATATTTTTTATTAAAAATT